TAAATGATGTATCATTCGACCCCCTTGTCGTTGAAAAAATATGGGGGGGTAGTTGCTGAGCGCAGGGGATGAAGTTCTGGGTATGTTTCTCAGAATTAGTCTCCCTAGAAATAAAAATTGACGCGTTCTTTGAAATTTTTAATTACATGTCATTTTCTGACTTACAGCGGAGGTCAAATTATTTTTATATACATCTCACAAATATACATACAAAACAATAAATTCAAAAATATTGTACTTTTGATATCACTGGTCAAATTTGAAAATTTTCACACCACTTATCAGCAACTTTTCTATATCCACTCTTGGAACTGTACAAATAACTTACAATTGATATTTCAGCAGACCAGAACTATATCGAAAATTAAATCACATATCTATGTACCACCTATCAACGAATGAAAATACATTTTCTCTGAGAATAAACATCATACATACAGAGGAAACATCGGAATGATATTTGAAGAGAAATAGTCATGAAACAAAGTGATAGCCATGGGTAAAAACTTTTGTTGAACTGCCAGTTTCTGTACCTCATGGCCCAGTAATCAACTGGGCATGAGGTACAGGAAGAAAATACGCACAGATCGATACCTTAATAATGGATCCAACCATCATCCAAAACAGAAACAAACCGTCATCAACACCCTAGTGAACAGAGCTTTGACAATATGTGAAGAGAAGTACGTCAACGATGAAATAAAATACCTAACAACTGTGTTACAAGCAAACGGTTACGACAAAAAAGACATAATTTGCGCTGTGTTCAAGAGAGAAGAAGAGGAACACCAGTGAAGAGCAACCCCAAGGACCGTCAATCTGCCTTGCATAGAAGGTGTCACCAGCCGAACCCAGAAAATTCTAAAGCAGGAGAGAATAAACACCGTCTTCAAACCAACAAAGAAAATATAGAGGTATTTGAGATCAGCAAAAGACAGCAGAGATCCACTCAAATCAGCGGGAGTTTACAGGATTACTTGTAGCTGTGGTAAAGTTTATCGGTCAGACGCCTAGTCGCTAGTCGAGCACAAGCGATTGGGACCTACCAAGAAATCTGCAGTCGCCGAGAGGTTAGCAACGTCAGATTACCAAAAATGTGTTTAGAAGCCATAGAAATAAACAAACACCGAGATGACTTCAACAGAAATGAAAATAGAACATATCTAATAAAGATCTGGCATCCAGCTTTGAAAGGCATCAAAATTAAGCCAAATCACTCAAATCGCGCGGGTAGTACGTGCGAAACAGCCATTACAGAAAGTACGCGAAAAATCGACACTATGAATGACATGGCAGAAATGAGAGTTTCAGTTGATACGTCAAGAAGAGTACTTCGATCACGCCACTGAAGATGACTGTCCCAGTTGCAGTTGAAACGTTTGAGAAACAATGTTCAGAACATATATCAGAAGACATTAATAAAAGTAGAAGAAATGAAAAATATTTATTGGGAAGGGGGTAAAAAATATGGCACAGAGTAGAAATTATTCCCAGTCCCAGGCCTAGAGATAAAAGGGCGTATGACTAAATAATCATCCCATTAGGCCAATTCGTGCTCTATCACTGGGAAATTTGAAAACATGTTTACATATTAGTATTGTATTTTGTACTTGTAATTTGTCAAAGAAGTTTGGAAGAACATAAATGGAGGAAAATTCTAACTGAAAGAGCAATAACCTTTCCAAAACCATAGCTATTTAATATACTGAAATCTATTGGACTATATTCTAACAGAAACTGAATCCTTACCACTTTTTTACACGGGACTACTTTCTGGACTTTCTGGACTACAGTAAACTCAATGAATTCATGTAGAAAAACTGGGTAACTATCAAAACCACACGCATTCATTCCACTTTCATTTTCATTTTCATTTTGCTATATAGGGTGAGAGATCCGGAAACTTAAAATCACCGAATCCACCGTCTTTTATTGGGGCAACGAATCTTGGCTGCCGGCCCTGTCGAGAGTTCCTCGGAGGAGGGGGTCGAAGACCTTGTGGGGCTGACGGAGAATTCGCTCCTCTCAACAAAAAGCCACATTGAGCGGTACACACTTCATCCTGAAGGATTCTTTCTCTAGACCATTCCCTCATAAGCTGACGGCAGTCTGTTACTCTGAGCGATGCGCAGTTGTTCTGAAAATGATGTATACAATTTAGAAAACATATTTTTCATTGTTAAAAATGGTGTTGACGTATTCGAAATGTATTGAAGAACAAATGAAACAAAGAATAAAAACAGTTGATTGGATACTGAATTCATTGAAAATACTTTTTGAAAATGCTTTTTCAAAACATGGTAAGTTGAACGTGAAAGTAGCTTTCAAAACTTCTTGTTTACTTCAACAAATGTTAGATTACCCTAAAGACAAGATCTTGGGAAGGGTAAAGTCAGGAAAATAAAAATTACATTAGAAGAATGAACATTTTCTACAGTGTCACCATTAAAGTGTGCACCATATGGAAAACTTTTTTTTCGAAAAGTTTAACTTCGGCACTTGTTTGTGCTTTGAATTTAACTTGAAATGATGCGGCCAACTGCGACCCACTGACGTTCAATGTGTGTCAAAACTATGGACGTTTACCTTCAGTTGAATTTTGTATGGGTGCAGGTCCAAGTCACGAAGCAAAACTCGCCAAGTTGTGGTCTGCGAGTTCTTGTGAGCTTAGATCCTTGACTTTTTTGTCGCCTCTCTAATGTGTTCTTGAGAATTTCGTAGTTGAATTCAATGACGTCGTGCTTTCTGCTGAAAGAGACCACGGAACACCACGCATTGGTCTTATCAATACCAGACAGAATTGATGATCTTTGTAATATCATCAATGAATAATGAGAATAGGAGAGGCTCGATGTTTGAACCTTAGGGAAAGCCTGGGATATCTCAGAAATGAATTGGCAACAAGACATATTGGTAAGACAAGATTTTTCCAGAGAACCATGGTGATTTTTGGGAAAGAAAGGTTTTGGTCCACTTCTCAATGGTAATCTTTCGATCACCATACCATATATCATATATTATTCTGATTATAAATAAATGGTATTATACAAAATCATCTCAAGGTTGATGAGGCCACTTCAAATGTGGCCTCATCAATCCTTATGGAAAAAACACGTGTAAATTTGAGCAGGTCCATTCTGGCAATTTTTTGACCTCCAATCGGAACCTTGTGAAACACTCAACTCAAGTTAGGTGTGTCATAGTCGTTCCCACTTCCCCTTAGAAGCTACTGTGTATACAGCGGGATATTCAAATCAAGTAGATGAGCAAGCTTGGTCCCAGCCCACAATTCTCTGGGAGTGGGGCAAAGAAACGTGTGACGTAATCGATGGAATGAGTATCGGAGAGATTCAAAGAGCGTGAGCCCCACTCCCGTTTGACCTAAAAATTGCAAAAAGTTTAGCTCCATAAGAAAATACATTGTATTTCAAGCCAGGACCAAGCTTGTTCATCTACTGCATTTGAATATCCCGCTCTATGCGCGGCAGCTTCTGAGAGGAAGTGGGGACGTCTACGTCAGACCTACCTTGAGTTGGGTGTTCCACAAGGTTCCAATTAGAGGTGAAAAATTCGCCAGGATGGACCTGCTCCTAAAAAACACTAGACACCACCCTAAGGCACATCAACAGCGTAAGACCTTCCATCACTTTCACAATGGAGAAGGAAGTCCACAACGAATTGCCATTCTCAGGTGTGTTGTTGAAGAGGACCGACACTAAATGAGAAACATCTGTATATCGAAAACTCACTCACACAGGACAGTATCTGAACCAGAAATCCAACCACCATCAATCGACTAACAGAGGAATCATCAAGACTCTATTAGACCGTGCATTCGGGCTCTGTAATACGAAGGAAGGTCTCGAAAAGGAACTAGGCATCATCAAAAATGACCTTCAACGGAATGGTTACTCCAGAGTGATGGTAGAACAGGCTTTAGCTAGAAGACAGCAAGAGCTCCACAAGGAATAGAAGCCTCCACAACCAGTACTTGTACTTCCCTTCATCAGAGGATTATCGGAAAGGATGAGAAGGATTGGGTCCAAGTATAACATCAGGACCTGCTTCAGATCTGGGAACACTATCCGTAGCAGCCTCAGGAAAACCGGGCCACAAAACGCGGACTGCGATTTCAAGAATTGCATTCACGAGATACCCTGTGAGTGCGGCAAATCCTATATCGGTGAAATTAAGAGACCATTGAAAGTTCGCATTGTCGAGCACAAGAAACATACACAGCAAGGAGAAACCAGCAAATCGGAAATAGCAGAGCATGTTTGAACTCAACAACATAACGTCAAGTGGTGACGTTATGTTGCTGAGATCATTCACAAGGAGGAACACTGGTTCAAGAAGAAATTCACAGGAGCCGCATAAATGTTGTCCAACAATGTAATCAGCCAAGCTAGCGTAGATATATACAACTTATGAAAACACACAATCAAGCGGAAAACGGCCAACTCCCGCCAAACTGGTGAAACGGTGAGAGGGTAGAGGGGATAGTTGAAAACACTCGAATGACCTACAAATAGTCATCTCTTGGAGGAAAAGTACAGTCATCATCCAAAGACGATTGTGGATACTTACAACTTCTTTTGTTCAAATGTTCAATTTTCAAATTTTCTCTTTGTATTTCATTTTATTCTTTTTTGCTCAATATAATTGTTATTTTCAGCTTTTCATTTCAATGTTAAATTGTATTGGTTCTTTCAGGGATTTCAAATCAGCTTATATCACATTAGACAATGGAAGTCCAAACTAATGAAATCCACCAAGAAACATTATCAACCATCTTCAAACAAACATTTTATAACATGATTCTCCTTCTTCTAAAACGACATCAGGATATGATAAAAACTTCATCAAACATAACTTATAATACCTCCAATCCAAGAGGTATCTGATTTTAAATAATATTGGAAACAAAAATGTGCAAAAAATCTTCAAAATTGTGGCTGTTTTTAAGACTGTCGAGGAAGAGACCTCAAGTATTTGTTGTCTTACCAGAATCTATCACATTTTCTCAACTGTCTGAACTGGATAGCAATTATGCATCCAAAAGTGGGACCAATCAATCCCCCTTGCAGAGGCCGCTCAGACATAGCTCCGGGGAAAAGATCAATATCGTCCACTGTAGCATAAAGCCTCTTGAACCTCCCGATGATCTCTGGGGGGATTTCTCTCGCCAGGTCTTCAAAACTGGTGGCCCTTTTCAAATTACACAACGCCCTGTAGTTGTTATACGAAGGAATACCGTGGTCTCTAGCTCTCTGGACATTGAGTGCAATCAAATCGACACCGGAGAATGGCACTTTTCTGTCTTCGAAGAGATGGTTTGTCACTTCTCCTGTTATGAATTGATCCAGTGTCTCCATGGGGGTAGATACTAAGCCTCTGATTATCTCATCCACCATACTTTCTCTCATCATGATGTCGGTTTTGAAAAATCCATCGCGAAGGAGTATTGGAGGGTCGATGATTTGGTAAGATGCACTCATCCTGAAAAAATGTTGAAGGTAATAAATCACATAAATTGTATTCAAGATTATAAACATATTCCAGAGGTGAGGTTCAGACTAACAGTATCAAAACAGAAAAAGTTGTTTGATGATGCCTTAAATAAAAATTATTTTCAGTTTAATGGTCCTAAGATATATCATCTGCTCATAATTGGGCACCATGACTTACTACGGAGTATCAGATAATAACAGTACGGTGAAGAAGATTCTATTGCTGGTCATATTCCTCAGTCTTTTCATTTTATTTAAGGCGTCATTGTTGCACGGTCGGTCCCTACAACATTTGTTCGTGCACTCCCAAAGTATTTGTCGCCTTGTGTTTTTTAATGATATATTGACCAACTGGTTTTTCGTCACTTTGAATTTTTCCTTTTGAACCCCTCATTCGATATGGATCATAGGGATACGATGTAGTAAAGGTCGCAGTACCCAAGTTGGTGCTTAACTTGTTCCCGTTGTTTCAAATGCATTTTTTAGGTGGTTGAGTTCCTCAGGAACACTCTCTGGTTCACCGATTCGTCGTGTTCTTTCAACAAGAAACTCAAGGGACTCTAGACAACTTGGATTCTATTGTAAACAGACGCGAAGATGGTACATTGGGCCATTCAGTGTACAGGAAACCAACAGACATAGACAGGTACCTGAACAAAAACTTTAACCACCGGCCACAACAAAAAAATGGGTAATCAAAACGTCGATTGGGAGAGCACGACGTATGTCAATCACCTAAAATATGCCTTCAAATAAAATGGGTAGAGCGAAGGAGAAATCGAGCGGGTCATTGGACTCAGGGGAGAGAATGCCAAAATAACCCCAGCTATTCAAGGGAAAACCTTTCCTTTCCTATATTAAATTAGATAAGAAAAATTTTAGAGAAACACAACGTGAAACCAATATTTAGGCCAACAAAAACTATCAGAAAAAGTCTAAGGACCCCAGAGAACCTTCAGCAACACACGGGGATTACCAGATTCCTTGTAGCTACGGGTAGAGGTAGAGGATCATGACTTGAAACCAACATATAGACCAAAAAACTATCAGAGGAAGTCTGAGGTCAGCTACAGATCCCAGATAACCTTCAGCAACACTCGGGGTGAACCGGATTCCTTGCAGCTGCGGGTCGGTCTATATTGGAACCACGAAAAGAAGTATCAGTACAGACAAATCGACAAGTCAGCTGAAGCCAAACATGCTCTCAAAAAAAAGACACTCACATTAGCCCATTCGATACAGTAATACTTGATAAAACTCAAAATTACTTTCTAAGAGTATATACAGAGGCAATAGAAATTCAAAAACACAGGGCTAACTTCAATAAAAAAGAAAAGGCACTGAACATTAATAAAATCTAGCTAGCTGTCCTTAAATTTACACAAACAAGGTCAGGTAATCCAACTGAGAGAAACCAAGCCTCACTCACCGATAATAATATAAAAGCAGGGTCAAATACCAGCATCGCAGTTGATGCGTTCGGAACGGGAACAAAAACTCGAGCACCAACTCGAGCACTGCGTTTGTTACCACATCGCCTTCAATGATGTCTACCGCAGTAGTAGACTGAACGTCAGACATAAAACCTACAGATCACAGCCAGAAAACCCGGAAAATAGCTTTCGCAAGTTATCTCCGACAGTGGCGGATTGGCTGTCTTTGTTCATCTTTTACTGCCTGAACCATTGTACATGCAGTTTTTGGCGAGTGCATTGGCTTGGGATGTGAGGGTTAAGCAAACCGGCCATCGGACGCCTACTTCCATGTAATCCCGCTGGATACGGGAATGACAGAATCACTTGTGGTTCTGTTATTCCCTAACTGAATGGTATCCCAGCGATGGCTTAATCCTAAGGTGTGTGGATGAATGACACTGTGCCTATCAGCTATATCTACGAAACCTTTGAGATACCGGGCGCCCTCTCGTCGTAGCATCACCTTGTCACGGTAATGCGGGGCTCTGCCGTGATTGGCCTTCTTTCCCTAGCTACTCGTGGGACTTATATGAACAGAGTAAACTTAAAAATTCTTACTGACGCTGAGTCTACAGAGGAGATGGATGTCGACTCCAATCAACCTCCATGTAAATTTAGATCAGGAGTGAGTCTACAGCGGAGATGGATGTTGAGCTTACGACTCCAACTGACCCCTCTGTGAATTTAGATCAGGAGCGAGAGCTTCTCAGCTCTCCAACTCCTGATCCAATAACTGAACCTAAAAAATAAGTTTGGTGGTGCAGCCAGGAAACGACTGAGTATGGATTACTCAGTGCACCAATGTTTGAGCGGTGTACGCAGAATCTGTCTCAGGTGGAGGAACAAACCCCTCATGAGCAGGTTAGCAAACATTTGCGCTCAAGTGATGATTAACCAAAACCAGAGGCGAAAAAGCTTTGCACAGTTGAATCTAAGGCATCGTTAGCTCTAGCTGATGGGCAAAAACCCTTATATGGGAATGTTGTCGCGGGTATCAAGGTGAGAATCTTGCACCTTGACTATCCGACTACCCCATTAACTACGAAACAGCAGAGCATATACTTTGTGCCTGCCCCGCTGGGGACCGAATTAGGTTTTTAGAGTTCGGCAGAACCATCTGACCTGAAAGACCACCCACCATACAAACCAATCGGCTTCGTTAAGAAGCTGGGTTTATTTGGTCGAGTGTGAATAGGTGTGCGCCACAATAAACCCTTGTGGGTTGCGGTGGAGGGTCGAATAGACCCACTCACTTTGGACCTAACCTAACCTATCTTCGACAGTGAAAGTTTACAATATTGTTGGTCGTTAAACAAGGGATTTTAAATTTTCCCGTTCATTGCTTTCCAGAGATTTCGGTATGTTCACTTCCTGCCCTTTATAATCTCTTCGCAATATATCATGACCAATGTTTGAACCGTGGTTGTTCTCTAAAAAGTCGCACGCGTGGGAAGAATTTATTTTTTCAAAACTTTTCTCATTTTCGGAGATTCTCGTTTTGAAATTACTGAAGTCTTTCCCATACGAAGAACTACTGTTACCCATACCAGAACTACTGTTAGTAAAACGCGACTTCAATCAAATTTAAGGTATAAAAATTGTTCAATTATTATTATAGCTAGTATAGGAATGTACTTTCATGGCTGGCGTCAATGTTTCTGTTGGTTTTCGGGTTTTGCCCTGGTCTTCTTTGATGGCTAGTCTAAAAAAATGTTCGTTGGGTAACAGGATCAATTTCTTCTTAAAAAAACAATTGTTTTGCCGCCGACGTTTCCAATTCAATTAAATTCTTCTTCAGGGCTCAAAAATTGGTTTCTTCGTGTTTCATGAAACAAACGTCTGTTTCATGTCGTTTTATGTTGGTGTTGTCTCAGAAGTTTGTCTGTTTCAATGTTTTTTATTTTTTCATCTAATATCTAATATGTCTGATGATTTTTCAAAATAGTAATATTATCAACACGAAGAAACTACTTTTCAAGACCTGCTGAAGAATTCAATTGAATTCGAAACGTCGGTGAGAAGACAATTTTTTTTCAAGAAAAAAATGATTGTGTTACCCAACCAACCTTTATTCCAAAAAATTATTAGATCAATCAACTAGTTAACTGATTATGGCTAGTATTATTAATTTTCATCAGGTAACAAATCAGTTTCCTAATGAGACTTAGTAAAGCCACACAAGTTTTTTAATTTCTAATTTCTCTTTCGAGTTTTATGTCGTCTCGACAATGTTAATGAAAACTGTCTTGCACCAACCTGGGGATGTGTGGTCTCAATAAAGAGTGGCCAATCCTGAACGCAGCAGCAGCAAACTCGGTAACAATCGACGGATTGCAGGTGGGGTTATATTCCTTGTAATATCCCTGTGGTAGAAGCTTCAAACCATAGAGATTCATAGCGTTCCAGCCCAAGATCCTCGGTAAAAATTCGTTATAAGTTATATGTTGGTTCTCAGCTATCAATATCTTCCTGGCATGCTCAAAAAGATTATCTTCGCTCCAATGAGGGTTGAGGTGGCGTAAAACGTCCGTTATTCTGTTATGTTCTCGAAGAAGGATGGTGTGAAGGGCTGTGAGAGCGGGTTGTTCTGAAGCTCTACCATCACCTAAAATTATGTACTTTGGTTCATACTTCATATCACAGGACTCTAAGGACGATTTACACCATCATAATCATTGTAAGGATAACCTTGACTATTCTCTTTTTCTTTCAATGATTATTGTAAGAGAGAAATGAAAATTCGTATTTAGATTATTCTAGTTCGTTCTCCAAGAAAAAAAAACAATTCAAATATTTCCAGAAACGACACTATTGAACCATTGCAGAAGGCTCTTAGAGAGGCCAAAAAATCATCAACGCTATAAAAGTTATGGAAAAAGATGGAAAGTTTCGTTTCAAAATTAAAAGGGGTATATTTTTTCAGGAGAGGTTAATTTCTGGAAGACACAGTTTTTGGTTTTCCACTTCTCCATCTTGATACGAACAAATGTGGGAAAGAAACAATCAATTTCAAAAGACTAACTCTATGCAAAGATGTGTAGATGTAGTAGTAACTTTCAGGCACAAACTGAAAGGAAAAACTACCCCGAAGGAACTACTTCCATATAAAAATGGAATTACACGAAAGAAATAGACTTTCCAGTGGAAACCGCGTTGAAAACGCTAGAAAAACTACTTGACAGGCATATCAGGAACGTATCACTGGCTATCAGACCATTACATCGAGACCAATATGCATACAGGTCAACAGAAACGGCTCTATGTTGGGTAACAGAAAAAGTAGAACATACTTACAAAAACAACGAAGTACTTTCAGCTGCTTTCTTGGACATTGAGGGCGTATTTGATAATACGTCGTTAGAATCAATCATCCAGGCGTCGAGGAGAAGAGGGATCGACAAGACAAGCTGTAGGTGGATAGACTGCATGCCTAGGGGAAGATTGGTATATACAACCATCATGGAGGAAACAGTGGTGGCACGGGTAACAAAGGGCTGTCCTCAGGGGGGGGGTTATCTCCTCTGTTATGGAACCTTATAGTGGACAAGCTATTATGTTCCCTGGACCACACAGGGTATAAAGAACTGGGCTATGCAGACGACTTAGTCATCTTAGTCCAGGGTAAATACAATAATGTAGTGACAATAAGTATCTGGCAACAAAGACTACTTCAATATAGTTGGGATCGGCTCAGAATAATTACAGGGTTACTAACCAGTCATTGTCCGCTTAGAAAACACCTGAATAAAATGGGGCCGTAAAACGGAGACCCCAGCGGCAGATTATGCAACGAAGGGATAAAAACAGCCCTACACATGTTATGCGAATGTGAGACACTGAATCACAGGAGGCAGGCAATATATGGACGTACAAAATCACGTCCAGAAGACGAACATCCAACATGGAACCTATACAAACTAGTACAGGGAACGAGACTATTGGAATGGGTGTCATGAGAAGATAGGAGAATAAGCCCAAGCCCAAGCAATAAGCCCAAGAGGCTGCAGTGTTTTCTGAAGACTTGGACTAAATGGACAAGTCAGACAGCTCCCAAGGAACCAAAAAAATATACTTTCGAGACAAATACACAAATATGAACACTGAATTATACAATAAACACTTTCCTCTACAGTTTGATTCCTTTCCACATTCATTGTGGAATGGAATCACATATCACTCACAGGATTCCTACACAATATAATTGATGAAAGAAGTAAAATTCCACTTACATGGAACAATGTCATCATCACTGGTAGACATCGATGTTCCGCAGTAAGGCACTTGCCTTATCAGCTCTTCAGAACCAAAACTAGATAACATTTAAAAAAACTCATTTCATTCATAAAATCACTTCTTTATGTCACGGAATGAGTTCAATCTATTCATGTCATCGATGACAGTACGAAATGGCATTCATTCGCTTATTAGATTGAATTCTGAGATCAAAAAACCCATGAAACTAAAGAACTCCACGCTTCACAACGAGGAGGAGGCTCAGATGGTTACACGTGTGTTTCTGTCGAATATTCCTAACGGCACAGACAGAACTGGAAATCTCTTGAGGTAATTCAACATTAAAACGGTTTTCATACCCACCAAGAAGTTACAACAAAGCCTCAGAACGGCTAAAAACAAAAAAAAACACTGTCATCAGCAGGGGTATATTTCATACCGTGCACCTGTGGGAAGGTGTACATCGGAACCTCCAAAAGATCCATAGGAACAAGATTGAAGGAGCATGATAGAAACTACACACCAAACCACAGGATTATATTCGAGAACACGAAACTTATTTCCCCCAACCAGGGATATAATAGTCGACTGGTACGGGAGGCAATAGAGATCCACAAACACACGGATGAATTCAACAGAAAAGAAGATATGAACCTCAACCGAGTATGGAACCCACTTCTTAGAAGCTCAAGAACAGAAAACAGCATGACGGCAGGTAGGAAAGTTTCGACTAATTTAATTGAAAATTTTTTGCTAAAAAAATTATCCTATCAAATTTGTCTATTTCTAGTCATGTGTGTCGAAAAAACCAATGAAACCATCATTACACTGATAACTACCCATGGATAGTTTTCACGGGTAGTTATCACTCATGTCATGACATTGCTAAGCAACCAACACAATAAAGTTGTTTGACATTTCAGTAATTCAANCGAAAAATAGAAACACTGTAAACTTCGGCCCCGAAAACCTTAACCAGATAGTATTACATGTTGAATACTTGAAATATTTTTATGATTCCTCACCTGCAATGAAACATTGTCCAGACGCTGACTTACATTCTGGGTGTTTATCAGTAGTTGGCAACAAATCTTTACCCCTAACGGGATGCCTGGTGAAATTCATTCTACCATATGGTCCCTTCAGATCTCTCAAAACACAATGGTTTTCCCCATACACTTCGGAGGCGTCCAAAAAAGCGGTATTTTGGTTGACTTGTTCTCGAGGTCCCAATTTCTGCTGGCCAGGCAAAGATCTCATGAAGGGGAAGCACATTCTCTCTCCAGATGTTATATTTATTTCTGGATAGTAGTGATCTCCTGCCGGTACCGGGAAAGGATTACACTCTGGATGAACTGTTCTGGGGCTGCTGCAGGGTCTACAGTTCGGGATTGATTCGTGGAATCCCTTATGGATTGGAGTCATGGTGAGGTCGTGGTCCAGAATCTGAGCGAACTGCATAGTCATGAGGGTGTATCTGTTGTGAAGGTTACTGATGTCGGGATGGATGACTCTTGATACAACTCTAGGGTTGGGCAGTGGAATGCCAGTCACACCAATTGATCGCGGTTTGGAGATACCTGAAATGAATAACAATGAGTTTGAGAGTGGTTGACAATTTTTCATGGTGAGTTTTATCATTGTATAATATCATTCTAATATGATTCGACATTCCTCCGAGGAATGACTATTTATAGGTCATTCTAGCGCTTTCACCCCTCCCCTCTTTTCTTCCTTTCAACGATTCAATAACGCTATGTAATATCCACTGTTGATGGTATTTCTCTTCTCGAGATAGTCGATGGATATTACACCACGCAGTTTCGTCGGCCTACTGAGGAAGCTATTCGAAAGCTTGTGACTGGAGAAAATATTGCGACTGTATCCGCCAGTTTTCGTGATGACCGTTAAATGTCGATTCGCCGCCGTTCGCAGCAATTGGGCATCTGTTACGTGGAACATTTTGCGAAAGGATTTGGGTGTAAAACCTCATAAGATACAGCTGGTGCAAGAATTGAAGCCACACGACCTCACACAACGTCTAACATTTGTGAATGAGCGCTGGCAAAGTTGGAGAGAGAACCACATTTTTGTGTTCAGCGACGAGGCTCATTTCTGATTGAATGGATACGTTAACAAGCAAAATTGCCGCATCTGGAGTGAGGACCAGCCACATGCATTGCAAAAGCTACCGATGCATCCCGAAAAAGCCACTGTCTGGTGTGGATTAATTATAGGTCGGTGGCATCATTGGGTTGTATTTCTTCAAAGACGACAATGGCCAGAACGTTACTGTGAAAGGCGAGCGCTACCGTCTGATGATTGACGAGTTTTTCTTGCCCAAAATGGAAGAATGGGACATGCCTGACATGTGGTTTCAACAGGATGGTGTCACATGCGACTCGGTCTGCAAAACAATGGCCCAATTGAGAGCCACCTTTGGTGAACAGTTTATCTCACATTTGGGGTCGGTCAATTGGCCGAGTAGATCGTGTGATTTAACGCCTTTGGATTATTTCTTGTGGGGTCATGTTACGGCTCATGTCTACAGGGATAAACCAGCAACGACTGACGCTCTGGAAAGCAATATTAAAGCATTTATACTTGAAATACTGGTCGATATGTTAGAGAAAGTGTGCCAAAATTGGACCTAAAGCGGAGCCGCGGACAACATTTGCATGAAATCATCTTCAAACAATAAATCATATTGATCATTCTATCGATTCCAATTTCAACTGAAAAAGCGGTTAATGCAATTAAGACTAGTGATATCTATATGATAGGCCCGAGACTTTTGAGCCCAGGTAGTTGAAAGACGCAATTATTCAAGAAGTTTCGACAAGTCGAGACCAGTACTCGAAAGGTATCTCTACAGTTCAACGTCAGTCATGAAAATATCTGGGGGGTTTTGCAAATAAATTTACTGTATTCATGCCATGCACAACGATACCCTGCACTGTTTTACCAAGAGATTGGTTTTTTTTCTGTGTTTCCTTGGGACTATTGCAGTAATATTACTATAGGAGTCCTAGCCCATTCCTTATGGAAAAACACGTACAAATTTGAGCATGTCTATTCTGGACTTTTTTGGACCTCAGGTTCAGTTCTCGCATAATGGACGTCTGACAGAGACGAAGCGCTGACCTTTGTCCGTTCCGTGTGAACTGGGCCTGATGTCAGAAAAGGTCCCGAATGAACCTACTCAATTTCGTTTTTCCATGTGTCTTTCCATAAGGAATGAACTAGAACTCCTATAGCTATATTACTTATTGCCAACAAACTCAGCTCTTCATCTAACGGCTTGGCAATAGTTTACACAAACATATTTTAGGAGGCCGTAAAAATCTTTGTACAAAAACCTCAATGGGTGATTTCCATTTCTTCATACTATTGTGAATCATCCCTGAAGAAAACAACGCAGGCAGCCACTGCAAGCCATAAACCAATTACGATGTAGCTAGGAGTGCGCGAATGTATGATGTTCGCTGCCACTCTAGATGTAGCGAGAATAATCCTACCGATTTCGATGGAATTCCAGCGAAATTTTCTAGCACATTCTATTACGATATATAAACGCTAGCCACGAGCATATCGACACAGTCAAGTGGAAGTTACAGTGCAGTACGCGAAGCGATCTAGTAAGCCGATAGATATTCGAATAATAGTTGAAGTTTCAGTTGAAGTGTTTGTTGTATTCAAAGTGAAATAAAGTTAAGTTTGATTATTGTTCGGTGTAGTCAAGTATTGGTTAACCCACAGGAAAAAACATAACAATACACTTATTTTTTCCAGGCTCGCTTTCAATTACCTATATTCTGTCAGTTTTCAAGCTTACTTCAATTATAGGGTGATCAAAGGCGAATTTTACGAATACAGTGGTGCCATATTCCCGTTTAATGGTTATTTAAAATTTAAAAAAAATCTGTTTGAAATATGTTTTTTCGTCAACCAGCTGTTGCACCCAATACGAACGACAACCCTCAAAAGTCGATACTTGTGCGAGCTAAGGATTAACGAGGTGTTACCTTTTAACGTTTGATTCCTAACACGTGATTCCTAAAGAGTGAATCCTCAACAAGATCACAGTACCATCAATTAATAAGTTTCCAATACTCACCATCATCATAAACGCTAGGAAGAAGCCTATTGAAAGCGGTCAAACTCTTGCCATAGCTCGGATTTCTCAGGTTATTGCAATGTCCTGTCATGGTCCTGAAAGGCGAATTGCGATCACAAGGAGCCGTATCATCGCAATGAAGATCAACATCAAACGTTTCAGCTGGTATCAAAGCTGCAAAGTCGATTTGCTGAAGAGTTTCTGTTAGTTCGTCTCTGAAAATCGACGGTATTATGTTGTCATCGAAAAGTTGCCTCTTTCTTCGACGGTGCAGAAGCGAATTGATGATTTCATTGGATGCGAATTCTAAAAGTAGAGATGAGTTGGCTAGTTTCAAGGCATTTTTATTGGCTTTGCTGAAAGAAGCTGCCGTTCCTAAGGAAGATTTCGGATTCACACCACCAACTGAAATAGAAAAAAGAATGTCTAAGAAGCACATAGGCCACGAAAAGGTAGTCAACCAAAGGATATTGAAATGCCGCACAGACGCCACTAGCAAAAATGATAAAATATGTTGCCAAGAAAATGCGTACTACGTTTCAAAAAAAAATATCTAGGGTCATAACCACAAAAATATTTTTTTCTTGAAACTTCAACACCATGTGGTTCAGAAGCTTAGATGTAGATTTTTTCTCGAAACAAACCCGAAAAAACTCTTGTGAAGTTCATCAAACCAGATATGAATGCATGTTTTTCTCAAACTTTGATAATCTGTGAGTTATGAAAAACGCCCACTTTGGTGGAAAGTTTCATAAATCTACTCGATAACTCTAATAGCAACAAATTTTGTGAGGAATGTATAAAATTGAAATAAATTTTCGTTGTTGTTCTTCGTGATTATATGATTCAAAACGAGACTGTCTAGTTCTAAACTCCAGACATCACCAGCACCATTTATAGGCCATTTAAACGCTTTCACCTATTCCCTCTTCCCTCTCTTCGCTTCACTGGTTTAACGGGAGTTGACCACTTTTCCACTTGATTTCAGGTTTCCATATTTTGCGTATCTCTATGCTAGTTTGGCTGAATGTGACTTTGGACACTATATATGCAGCTTCTTTGAACTTCCTCTTGAAACAGTGTTCCTCCCTTGTGGATGATCTCAGCTTGGGATCACTTGATGTTATGTTGATGAATCCAAACATGCTCTGCTATTCCCGATTTGCTGGTTCCTCCTTGCTGTATGTTTCTCAAGGGTATTACAATTATTGGAATCGCAGTCTACATTTGGTGGCTTGACTTTCGTGAGGCTACTGTGGATGGTCTTTCCGGATCTGAAGCAGGTTCTGATGGTGCACTTGGGCCCAATTCTTCTCATCCTTTTTGACAATCCTCCTACGTAGGCATTGGTTGTGACGGATTCTTTTCTTTGCAAGGCTCTTGTCTTCCAGCCAAATTCTGTTCTTTCATCACTTTGGAGTAACCATGATCGTCGGTCCTCTTTACCAGAACGTCTAAGAATGGCAAATCTTTTTGTGCTTTCTTCTCCATGATGAAGGGTAGTGGAGGGTTTTACATTGTTGATGTGCTTCAGAAAGATGTCTAGTTCTGTATTCACATGGTGCCATACTGTGAAGGTGTCTTAACCAGACTTGGGGCTTCCTGTGGGCTTCTTCAATGACCAGAATATATGGAGTGATTTCAAACTCTGTTCCACAACATTGTTGAAATCCCTGTATTCCTTTGAGGAAGCAATGTTTCCAATAATGGTAGTTTTTCATATTGGCGGAGGGTACTTCAGTACCCTCCTCGAATATGGGAATAATATTATGTGAATGAGTAATAATTTTCCACTCTCTGCAGCATATTGTACTGGAATTTAACTTAATGGCAATATATTCATCAACACTTGTATGTATTTTATTATAATTTTATACATGTATCATGCAAATGTTATTGAGTCGCTCAAACTAGGTCCCATTTCTATCAAACATAAAACTAGTGTTGATCAAAAATAAAACCAATGTTTCAAACTATACAAGTTCCTCTTGTGCTTTAAATGATCCAGCAAAGAGTTACACTAAAATTCTTTTCAGTTTCTTTCCACATCTGGGTTACTTAAAGTTCGTCAGACGGCTTTAGCAAGTATTTCGTGAAATGACATACCTCTACTCCATACTGCATATTCCATCTTTCTGCGCTCTAAAACTTCCTGTTCAGCTTTGGCAAGTGCATCCATCAGTAGATCTTCCGATAAATCCGTCATATGATCCATCTCCACCCACTCTGATAGCTGCGGAAGAGGGTGCTGGTCACAAGAAATCCTAGAATTCAAATATATGTCTTCTTGAACGAACGCTTTAGGTTGAATTTTTTCCAGGTCGTCTGTATTTGCGCACAGTAAACCCGCAAGCGTAATTTTTTTGATTTCCTTCAACTGACTCGTTGTTAAAGAACTAGGTGGCAGGTCGTTCTCGTACCAGAATCTGTCTGTTTCCTTCAGAATCTGGAACTGTTCTTTCAAGAGGCAGTTCAAGGTTGACCCCACCATGGTACCAGGAATGGGTTTCTCCAATAATATTCCAACCAAGAGATCAATATCTTGAGGACTTGTGTACAGATATTTGAGGGCTTTGATGTATTCATCTGAGATGCCAAATGTCTTCAAGTTTTCGAAAGATAACACTTTTTTACTTGTCGAGTTCGAGCAGAAGTGCAAGACACTGGGATAAGAAGGTATGCCATGATCTCTGCCCATGTGGATGAACAAAGAAGCTGTGTCCCATTCTGGTCTAACTGGTACCATTATGTGAATGCTGGGGTTATGTGATGGAGTGGTTATCAGTAGGTCCACCATTTCAGCAAAAGATTCCACGCTCTCGTTCATCTGGAAACAATGATAATCAACAGAATGTATGATATTGAGAAGATATATGTTATATCATGCTTTTCAATGGTGCCCTACAAAGGTGCATTCGATGTAGCTTTAAATTGAAACTTTATTTTCCATTATTAATGTAAGAAATGTCCTGAAACATTGTTATTGCCATCATAGCATTAATATTGTAACGAATTAAAGAATTAACTGTCTTAAACAATACTTCACTATCACAACTAATTTATTTACACCACTCAGTAACTAACGCTTAATTTATCTTCACCGTTTGTTAACCGCTCGATTTGCTTTCTTGGTACAGACTCCTCTTCGGGATGAAGAGCGACGTTTTTATATCGTCAACGAACGTTCCGGATCCCTCTACGGATTTCGGGACCTATCCGGAGTTTTGGCGGTATTTTGCGATGCGTCATGCGTTTGCTGACTGGGGCATCGGTCAGGGCCGGCTTCAGATTCATTACATTGCCCCCTCCTTAAAGACGTTTCGCCCCGAAATGTCATCCTTGGCGTGTAGTTTGTTAACCGCACGATTCGCTTTCTTGGTACAGACTCCTCTTCGGGACGAAGAGCGACGTTTTTGTATCGTCAACGAACTTTCCGGATCCCTCTACGGATTTCGGGACCCATCCGGAGTTTTGGCGGTATTTTGCGATGCGTCATGCGTTTGCTGACTGGGGCATCGGTCAGGGCCAGCTTCAGAATCATTACATTGCCCCCTCCTTAAAGACGTTTCGCCCCGAAATATCATCCTTGGCGTGTGTCGATACCTGCAGAACTCTCCATATTTGCACTGTGAAGTTCGATGGAAGTAACACTCCACAGCCTTTATGCTCGGTCGTGGAAGATGGTTACCACACACCAAAATCTGGATGCCGCTGGATCTGAAGATCGTTTCCAACATGCTTCTCACAATTCTCCAGTCCAGCCTGTCGAGCCCAGAGGCTAATTTCGGGATCGCCAACTCCACGAGATTCTGGTCGAGCATCGTCTCCTTCAGTCTAGTAAGACTCCTCCAGACATCTTCATAGGACGGTTTGTCTCGAGAATGCTTTTTGGTCACCAAGTAGAAGATGTTTCTCTGACCCTTCTTCAACTGTAGCACTCCTCCGACTTCTGGATTCTGTTCTCGTAATGTTTGAAGCTGACCGAATTTCTTGTTGAATACCACAGCGATGCCCTTGGACATTTGGAGATCCTCTGCCAGTTACCCCATGTACGACCTTCTGTCCGTTCGAGTATAAGGACATGAATTGCTGGAACGTCATTTCATCCTCTGGTGGTCTGAGGGCGCGAACTTGGTCGTGATTTCCAGCATAAGGAGCCAGTCTATTAAAATGGACGACCCTAGGCTTTCCTCGAGGTGGCTTATGGATTCGGTAGACGAGGTCATTAATCTTTTTCATGATTTTGTACGGACCTTCCCACGAGTTCCGCAACTTCGGTGATAAACCACGGCGGCGCTTAGGATTGTACAGCCAAACTAGGTCGCCGATTTCGAATCCTCCAGCATTCGCCTTGATGTCATAGGCCTCCTTCATCCCACTTCTGACAACAATTGTAACGAATTAAAGAATTAACTGTCTTAAACAAATTTATTTTAACAATACTTCACTATCACAACTAATTTATTTACACCACTCAGTAACTAACGCTCAATTTAGCTTCATCGTTTGTTAACCGCTCGATTCGCTTTCTTGGTACAGACTCCTCTTCGGGACGAAGAGCGACGTTTTTGTATCGTCAACGAACGTTCCGGATCCCTCTGCGGATTTCGGGACCCATCCGGAGTTTTCGCAGTATTTTGCGATGCGTCATGCGTTTGCTGACTGGGGCCGGCTTCAGATTCATTACAATATTACTATTACTATATACGAAAAGGATAATTTCTGGGCTAGTATATTGGGATATGTAATTAGTGATCTATTATTCATAGAAGGAATTCCAAATGGCGAAATGTATGCCCAAATACTGGAAAGATCTGTCGAACCTCGGATAGTTCATGAATTAATGAATCAGAGAGACATACACGGCAATTCATCTTAAGAAGATAATGTATTATATTTTCAAGAGCATGGTGCACTTCTCCACTATGTAGTTCCAGTTAGACAATGGTGAGATGATAACTATGCTAATTAATGGATTGGAAGAAGAGGTCCAATTGAATGACCTCCTAGATCCCCGGACCTATCTCCTCTTGGTTTCTTTCTCTGGTTCTATAGTTTCTCTGGTTCTATAGAGCAAATGAAGGAAAGAATGATCCAAAAATGCCGTTTTCAGAGAAACGTTTGCCAGTGTACGTTGAGAGTTTCAAAATAGACATTGTCCTGAAAAGGATGCAAATCATTCGGAACATTTCTCAAATTATTGATAGAAAATAAAATTTCAGATTAAATTAATAGTTTTTTGATACAAAAAAAATGATTTTCAAATTGATTAATCCTTCCTTTCTTTGGAAGATTCTCTCATCCATTTTTTTTGTATCAGATGGAGTAGTAGAAAGCCAAAAACTTTCTTTACCAAAAAATTAATCACTCCTAAAAATATAACCCTTTCAAATCAAATTAATAGTGTTTTATTCAATAAACCAAGAACTACTACATCAAATGTGGCATTGTAGGGTATCAAGAGATTCTAGATAAGGTATCACAAGTAGGGAGTTGCCCTTCGAGACCATAGAGTTGGGGTAGCTGGAGGCGAGAGGGCAAGTGAAAACAAGTTAGCTATCAACTCATTTTGTGTCCCTTCCTATTTTGGAAATTGTTTTGAAATTGTCACCCTGTATATATGTTTACATATGAATTGAGTTCACTTACCACGTTTCCTGGTAGAGTAGAGAGTAAAACAGGCAAGGCTGTCATGGCGACTTCGTTGAATATTCCTGTTCTTCTGGCACTGGAGTATTTTGAGAATCGGCCGTGAGACTTCAACTCTAGTTCTGAGTGTACTATAGCTTCCTGGAAGGCGTGATAATTATCATAGAGGATACTTCTCTACTAAAAATCTCACATATTTTTACGATAAAACAAGTTCTGTCAGAACATGTTGTTACTAGTTCCGTTACCATAAGACTAAGAAACAATATTTTAAAGGAAATGTTACACTACATCGAATTATTGAATTAAGGCGTGGATAAAATCAATTGTGGTTTATACAAAGGCTGCTTCTTTAACGATGAGAACTATATAATTATAAACAGTGAAATGTTGATAGCATCTTCGAAAAGCTATGAGAAGCTCATTTATGTTCGATACGTAACTACGAATAACTATGATACTGAACTATGACCAGCCAGAAGATGAAATATAATTGAATGGGAGAAAATTTAATATTCAGAATTGGAGTAGACATTGAAGCATGAGACGAATTTTGCGTCTTGAAAGAAAACCTGCAACGAGGAGTACAAAAACCTTTGCAGAATATCTATTCAGAGACTTCTTCGGGAGAGAGGGAATGGTAAAAAGGATGTTCGCCCCTTCTTATTTCAAAGGTTCAGTACTTTGAGTTTCTGAGTTTGTGATAATATTGCTAGAGGGGGAATATAGATGCCTTCGAAAGCAGAACACTTTGATTAAAACATATTTATGATCGTGTTTTGGTGCCCCATGTCGTGAAAAGAAAAATACCTTGTCCGCATCTATTCGAACTCAATCAAATAAAATCCAGTTTCTTCAAGGTTACTGATTATTCAGAATATCTGGCAAGAGTGAGATTCAGTCAAACACCGAAAACGTGATCCGGTCAGAGGTTGTGAAGGTACAGGGCCTTGTGAAGAATAATTCACTCCGAAGTTGATAGAACATGCTACATCTTCCACAAACTAATGAGTACCTCACCATCGATCAGTTTGTGACTACTTTCGTCAGCTAGGTGAGCAACACAACTTTTCTGCCGAATGGAAAAAGGCAAAACTAATACTCCTGAGGAATGAAAATAAACCTATAGATAACCCGTCATCATTTAGACCTATCTGTCTCTTGGATTCTAAAGGAAAACTCTTCGAACACTCAATACTTGAACGTCTTAATGAGGAAATTGTACGAACAGAGGGTTTAGCCAACCAACAGTTCGGGTTCAGGAAAGGGCGCCAAACAGTAGACACCGTAAACACTGTAGTGTTTACGGTGTCTACGCGAAATCTCTGCGTAGACCTAACGCTGGATGTGAAAAATGTTTTCAACAGTGCAACATGGCAATTCATATTGGAGGCCCTTAGAAATAGAGGCGTGGAGGAAATTTATATGATATCAATTTATCTGATAGCCTCATATCTATCAGAGAGAGAGAAATTTCACTGGAAGCCATTGATGACACAAAAACTATCAGTATAAATAGCGGTATCCCACAGGGATCAGTCCTAAGACCTACATTGTGGAACGTCCTATATGATGAGCTTTTTTCAATTGAATTACCCGATGAAACTGATTTGGTAGGAACACAGATTGGACTGAGCAAGGCAGTAAAGTATCTGGGAGTATGGCTTAACACTAAGCTGACCTTTGCAGAGCATATAAAACAAAGTGTAGTAAAAGCGGAGAAAACAACTACAGCGCTAGCAAATCTGATGCCCAATATCGGAAGTCCCAGAGCATCTAAGAGACGAATTCTGTCAAATGTAGGTCATTCGCAGATTCTGTACGGTGCACCATCCTGTTACACCGCAATGCAAAATACGAAACTGGTACAGAAATTAACAGCGGTGCAGACAAAAATGAACTTCCGAACGTGCAGTTCATATAGAAGGATATCCGCTGAGGCAGCATGCGTTATAGCAGGGGTTTCACCGATTGAAATTCAAGACAAAATGGAGAGTAGAAATTGAAGTATCTGGTTACTATTTTTTTTCCTTTATTTGTTCCATCTTTGGATATATCACGAGTCAAGTACTAAAGTAATGCGGGAGCGGTTCCCGATACTTGGCACCGAGAATACAGGAAGGGGTTTTAGTCGGTAAGAATCCGGCATAGCGCCTATGAAGATTTCCCCTTCTCCTCGTTTTACTCGAGAATTTGGTTGCCTGTGATTGATTCCAGGAAGAAGTCCCCCTCCGGGAGACTTCTCTGAAGTACTCCTGATCCTCACAGATAACTTGTAGCCATCCAGGCTAGAATCGTACATGTGGATCCCCTTTTGGAATACTCCCTACCAGAGCCCCAATGGGATACTGAAGAGATTCAGTGAATTGGTTAGTGTTGTGGTTATCTGATATCCAAGGCGCAAGATTCTCGCTTCAATGATAGCAACAACCTTCTCATACAAAAACATCTGTGAGTTAGTGACACTGATAGACAGTACCACGAGTGATCCTGTTATTTCCACAGCCAGTGTTGGTACAAGAAAGCAGGCATCCAATAGCTGAATTTGTTCAATTCCGCAAACCAAGCAAACACAGACTCGAAAAGCAGCAAGAGGTAGTTCAAGCAATGAACAAAGAAAGAAAATCAATCCTCAGATCAAACCTACCTCTCCAAGAACAATAGGAAGAAACTCGTTGTACGTGATATGTTGAATTTCTGCTATAACGATCCTGCGACTTTCCAAAAATATCTTCTCATCGGTCCAATGTCGGTTCAGACGAGCAAGATCAACCGCAACTCTGTTATGTTCTTTCAATAAGGCGGAATAAAGTGCGTTTGACCTACAAGCAGCACAAGCAGAAACGTTGAGCAGGCCGGCATCATAGGTTCGGAGTTTTTCCATCTGTTGATGACTATTGCCATAGATAGCGGAAGCATCCAAGTAGGAGGTGGCGAGGTTCATTTGTTCCCGGTATTCTGAAAAAAATGAATTTTGTAATTTGCATACGAGAATTTTTGGTTGTCTCAGAAACCTTGAAGTTTCCTTGATTGAGGTTATGTTGAATCAAATATGGTTTTCCCCATACACTTCGGAGGCGTCCAAAAAAGCGGTATTTTGGTTGACTTGTTCTCGAGGTCCCAATTTCTGCTGGCCAGGCAAAGATCTCATGAAGGGGAAGCACATTCTCTCTCCAGATGTTATATTTATTTCTGGATAGTAGTGATCTCCTGCCGGTACCGGGAAAGGATTACACTCTGGATGAACTGTTCTGGGGCTGCTGCAGGGTCTACAGTTCGGGATTGATTCGTGGAATCCCTTATGGATTGGAGTCATGGTGAGGTCGTGGTCCAGAATCTGAGCGAACTGCATAGTCATGAGGGTGTATCTGTTGTGAAGGTTACTGATGTCGGGATGGATGACTCTTGATACAACTCTAGGGTTGGGCAGTGGAATGCCAGTCACACTAATTGATCGCGGTTTGGAGATACCTAAAATGAATAACAATGAGTTTGAGAGTGGTTGACAATGTTTCATGGTGAGTTTTATCATTGTCTAATATTATTCTAATATGATTCGACATTCCTCCGAGGAATGACTATTTATAGGTCATTCTAGCGCTTTCACCTCTCCCCTCTTTTCTGTCTTTCAACAATTCAATAACGCTATGTAATATCCACTGTTGATGGTATTTCTCTTCTCGAGATAGTCGATGGATATTACACCACGCAGTTTCTTCGGCCTACTGAGGAAGCTATTCGGAAGCTTGTGACTGGAGAAAATATTGCGACTGTATCCGCCAGTTTTCGTGATGACCGTGAAATGTCGATTCGCCGCCGTTCGCAACAATTGGGCATCTGTTACGTAGAACATTTTGCGAAAGGATTTGGGTGTAAAACCTCGTAAGATACAGCTGGTGCAAGAATTGAAGCAACACGACCTCACACAACGTCTAACATTCGTGAATGGGCGCTGGCAAAGTTGGAGGGAGAACCACATTTTTGTGTTCAGCGACGAGGCTCATTTTTGATTGAATGGATACGTAAACAAGCAAAATTGCCACATCTGGACCAGCCACAAGCATTGCAAAAGCTACCGATGCATCCCGTAAAAGCCACTGTCTGGTGTGGATCAATTATAGGTCGGTGGCATCATCGGGTTGTATTTCTTCAAAGACGACAATGGCCGGAACGTTACTGTGAAAGGCGAGCGCTACCGTGTGATGATTGACGAGTTTTTCCTGCCCAAAATGGAAGAATGGGACATGCCTGACATGTGGTTTCAACAGGACGGTGCCACATGCCACACGGCCTGCGAAACAATGGCCCAATTGAGAGCCACCTTTGGTGAACAGTTTATCTCACATTTGGGGCCGGACAATTGGCCGCCTAGATCGTGCGATTTAACGCCTTTGGATTATTTCTTGTGAAGTCATGTTACGGCTCATGTCTGCAGCAACGACTGACGCTCTGGAAACCAATATTAAAGCATTTATACTTGAAATACTGGTCGATATGTTAGAGAGTGTGTGCCAAAATTGGACCTTGCGCATGGGCCATCTAAAGCGGCGCCGCGGACAACATTTGCATGAAATCATCTTCAAACATTAAATTATATTGATCATTCTATCGATTCCAATTCCAACTGAAAAAGCGGTTAATGCAATAAGACTAGTGCCATCTATATGTTAGGCCCGAGACTTTTGAGCCCAGGTAGTAGACCGAGAACAATATCACCACAGTTGAAAGACGCAATTATTTAAGAAGTTGACAACGTCTTTCGACGAGTACTCGAGAGGTATCTCTACAGTTTAACGTCTGTCATGAAAATATCTGGGGGGTTTTGCAAACAAATTTACTGTATTCATGCCATGCACAACGATACCCTGCACTGTTTTGCCAATTGATTGGATTTTCGTCGGTGTTTCCTTGGGACTATTGCAGTAATATTACTATAGGAGTCCTAGCCCATTCCTTATGGAAAAACACGTACAAATTTGAGCATGTCTATTCTGGACAAAAGCCCAGGCGTCGATTTTCTCCAAAAAGATAAATGTCTTCGATCCGGATATTTGGGGGTTGAAATGGACAACAATAAGACTTGGCATAATTATGTCACTGGAGTTGCAAAACTGCTTCTCAAAAGCTTGGAACACTGCTCCGAATCAGAACACTGTACACCTCAGCAACTTTTGATGCTTTATAAAGCTCAGATCAGACCTTCTTTGAGAGCTCTGTCCCCAAACATACCTTGAAGTTCCTGGATTCCATCCAGAAAAGAACCATCCGCCAGATTGGAGACGCGAGCAACACGTGCAACCTTGATAGCCTGGAACGTCGAAGAAAGGTTGGAGATTTGTCTCTCTTTCATAGATACTTTCACGAGAGGTGTTCAAGTGACTTGGCACATTTCATTCCATCAAAGTAGGAGTTGCCGGAGTATAGAACACCCCCACTCCTCCACTTTTCGTCATTACCCAGTCGACCAATCAGAAGGTACCACGCGCATAGCGGGAAATTCAAATCATTCTCACTTCAACAAGACAGACCACCTATCCAAATTCACCTGTCACGTGGTTTCCGTGACCATCGGCGACTGGAAATTTCATGAGAATTGGAATAAAAAAATTATCGGTTAGAGAATTGAACCCAAGTCATCGGCTTGGAATACCACTCAATCATTCCAGCGCTGCTTTAACTTCTCAATACCACTGTTGAAGAACGATTTATCTTTTGCCTCAAAATAGGCCTCAGTTTCAGCCATAACCTCTTCATTAGAACGAAATTTTCTACTGGTGAGCATTTTTTTGAGATCTGCGAACAGCCAAACGTCACTGGGAGCCAAATCTGGCGAATACGGCGAATGTGGGAGCAATTCGAAGTTCAATTCATGTACTGTTAGAAGGTGGTTGACAATGTTTCATGATGAATTTCAGTAGTTCGGACTTCCATTGTCTAATATCTAAAACGATTTGAAATTTCTGAAACAACTAAAAGAAGAAAAATTAAAAATGAATAGCTGAAAATAACAATTATATTAGGCAAAAATAACCTGAAATGAAATAATAGTGAAACAAAATACAAGTAAAAATAGAACAATTGAATAAATAAAAATAAAGAAATGAAAAAAGGAAANTACTTCTATAGGTAGATTCGTTCTCTCTTTCAGGTTCCCGTCTTCGGATAGCTTTTTCTGTATGATTTGGAGTGTTTTTTTTCGACCGGAACGTTGGTGTAAACGCTTTCCACTTCGGAACTAATCAGTTGATCTTCAATTGTGACTTCAATTGACCCTAGTGATTCGACAAAATGGCGAAATGACAAAGACAATATTTTTTATTGTAATGGTTGTATTATGGGAAGTGAAAATCTAGATAAGTTTTGAGTAGCCGAATCTCTGGAGCTGATGATCGGTCTAAGTGGAACGTCCTTCCTGTGGATTTTGGGTAATCCATACAAATGAGGGGACTTACTGTGGTGCGGTGTTAGCGATGATCTTTTCTTGTCTGAAAAATAGACTTGGTGTTTTTTCAAAATCTGGTACAACTTCCTTTCAATTGATGCAGTAGGGTCCCGTACGATCTTTGTGTATCTTCCCTTCTGAAGAACATCTTCGATCTTCTGTTCGTAGAGAACAGTATCCATTTATTAATTCATTTCAGGTTATTGTTGCTCAATATAATTGTTATTTTCAGCTATTCATTTTTAATTCTTCTTTTTTCAGTTGTATCAGGGATTTCAAATCATTTTATATATTAGACAATGGAAGCCGAACTAGTGAAATTCTTCAAGAATTTCACTAGTTCGGACTTCCATTGTCTACTATATAAACACAGAAGTGCTTGCACTTCCCTACATCAGAGGATTATCGGAAATTATAAGAAGGATTGGTTCCAAGTACAACATCAGAACCTACTTCAGATCCTGTAACACTATCCGTAGCAGCCTCACGAAAACCAGGCCACCAAACGCGGACTGCAATCCCAAGAATTGCATTCAACAGATACCCTGTGAGTGCGGAAAATCCTATATTGGTGAAACTAAGAGGCCATTGAATGTTCGCATTGCCGAGCACAATAAACACACACAGTGGGGGGAAACCAGCAAATAAGGAATAGCAGACCATGTTTGGACCCATCAACACAACATCGAGTGGTCCCAAGCTGAGATCTTGCACAGAGAGGAACATTGGCTTAGGAGAAAATCCAAGGAAGCCGCATACATGTTGTCCAACAACGTATTCAGCCAGGCTAGCGTAGAGATACGCAACATATGGAAACCCATCCAACTCCTGCCAAAACGGTCATCTCCCACGGAACCAGTGAAGCGGAAAATGGAAAGCGGGGATAAGTGAGAGTACTCGAACGACCTATAAATAGTCATCTCTCGGAGGAATCAGTCTAGTCATCACCCGAGGACGATTGTAGATACTAACAATCGAAACGTCGTGAACTTACGTGACTTGGAATCTCTCCACT